ACTAGCTGGAAGAAATGGCGTCGATTGAATGGACTCATCGACGTGAAGAGAGAGCGGAATCCCAGTCACTTGCGAAATCCGATTGGCTATATTGGATATAAAATGGGGATGCCATAGCTTCCCAAATGCAACGATCTGGATCAAAAATGTCCAAACCAAAATGCTGAAGCAGATACGAACAAACGAGACCTGCAAACGGGTCCTCGGAATTACAGGACCTGGGAGCTTATCGCACCTAACCTGTATACTCTCAGATCTATCTTCCATTGCTCCGCTAAACACCACATTGCTGCCTCATTCAAAATCCGAACCGATTTCCACGTTCAAAAAACTCATTCCGTCGCATGAGATTTCAGATTCGCATCACCGTTCAGGGATAGAGGACCACTCAAAATCCAAGAACACAAACAGCTTACAGGAAATCAAATTGTCGCGATCATGCAAATGGATTCAGCTCGGGGAATATAATCTCAAAAAATGGAAGATCCAAAAGGCTGAATCAGGCAATCGGCAATGAACATCAGCTAACGGGCTATTTGAAATCGGATAAAAACGGGAAAACATGAGAAATGATGGAGGTGCGGAGCGTGAAGGTGGCGAATCACGAGCTAAAAATGAAGAAAATTAAGCCCGAACAACTAAATAAATGCCTTCTCACTAAACTTTCCCGCAAATTTCTCCCGTTTTCTATTGAATTTCTGAAGCTCAACAAAAAGATGAACAAAATGGAAAATCAAACAACGCTAAAATGTACGTGAGCGCTGGAAATTACTGACTAGTTTGTTGAGAGATTCGTCTCATCTTCACCTGTCTTTGATTTTGTTCTAATTTTTCTTCTGATTTGGACTTGCGTAATTATTTTTATGGTCCAATTTAATTTTGAATTTTTGTAAAGTGAAACTAAAAGGGTAAATAAATAAATTATATATGAGATTTTAATTACAATTAATTTATATCCAAGAGAAGCAATTGAAGTACAAATTATTATGTAACCACTAAATATCCAAAAATAATCATGTTTATTCCACAATGTCATACATCCAAAATAATTACTATAAATAAATAAATAATCATCATAAACAAACAATTCGAAATTATTATGTTCGAAGGAGACACTTTATCTGAAAATTTCCCGTAATCTCATCGATGCTTCGTTCCACAATTATTTTTCATAATGAAGATATAAATAATTGAAAATGATTAGATACTGATTGACAAGACAAGTTATGGTTCAAAAGAAATATATATATTCATTGCTAGCACACCTCTCGGTGTCCGGCTCTGATACCATTTTTAACAACTCAAGCCCACCGCTAGTAGTTATTGTCTGCTTTAGCCCTTACGTATTACCGTCAGCCTCACGATTTTAAAACGTGTATGTTAAGGAGAGCTTTCTACATCCTTATAAGGAATGCTCTGTTCCCCTCTCCATTCGATGTGGGATCTCACAATCCACCCCCTTGGGAGTCTAGTGTCCTCGCTAGCACACCGCCCGGTGTCTGGTTCTAATACCATTTGTAACAGTCCAGGCTCACCACTAGCAGATATTGTCCGTTTTGACCAGTTACATATCACCATCAACCTCACGGTTTTCAAATGCGTCTGTTAGGAAGAGCTTTCTACATCCTTATAAGGAATGCTTCGTTCCCCTCTCCAATCGATATGGGATCTCACAATCCACCCCTTGGGAGTCCAGTGTCCTCGCTAGCACACCGCCCGGTGTCTAGCTCTAATAGCATTTACGTATCGCCATCAGCTTCACGGTTTTAAAACACGTCTGTTAGGAAGAGCTTTCCACACCCTTAAGAAATGTTTCGTTTCCATCTCCAACCGACATGGGATCTCACCACCTTTCTTTCTCTAACTCCATTCGAGAGTTTCCGGTGGACAAAGATATGAATCAATTGAAATCAAACTAAAATGATGTACAGCTCCTGTGGTTTCACCAGGTCAGTTATTCCTAATAGTTTAGGCTAATACAAATTATCCATCTCAATCATACTACGACCAGCTTCTTTTCTTGCCTTCTCAGTTCGCATTTGAGATGATCTAATTCCTTCTTTCATTCTGTTTTCTTCCTCAATTTGCTGATACTGTGTATAATCAGACAGTCTCCCAGCAACAGCATATGTACTAGACAGGAGCATTGAATCCGTGGGGTGTTCATCATTTAAATCAACTAGCATTCTCTTCACAGACTCTCCCAGCTCAACATCTCCATATACCCTACAGGCTGCCAGCAGAGCACGCCAACCCGTTATATCGCCCTCGGAAGGCAAGCTCTTGATTAGCTTATGAGCTTCCTCCAACAACCCTGCACGACCAAGAAGATCAATAATGCATCCATAGTGCTCAATCTTTGGTGTCATTCGATATTCATACACCATTCTCTTGAAACATCTCATACCCTCTATCACTATGCCTCCATGACTACAAGCATTCAAGACAGCCAAGAAAGTTATTTCGTTGGGCCTAAAACCCTCCTCCTCCATCCTAAACAAAGTGTCAATAGCCTTCCTTGTCTGACCATGAGCCCCATAACCAGTGATCATGGCGGTCCAAGTCTTTACATCTTTATCCTTTATCTTATCAAAAATGTCGATCGCCTTGTCTAGGAACCCACATTTAGCATACATATCAATTAGAGCTGTTCCAAGAACAGCATCTAGAACAAGTCCTTCCTCCTCCACATAATGGCCAAGGTATTTACCTGTACCGACAGCACCGAACGTAGAACAAGCTGAAAGTAATCCAGCCAATGTGGATGAATTGGGTTTCTTTCCTTCATGTTTCATGAGATGTAGTGAATCTATAGCGATTTCTAACATGCCATTTCTAGCATAGTTATCTATCAAACAATTCCAGAGAATAACATCCTTCTCAGCAACTTCATCAAAGATCAGCTGTCCTGATTCCAAATCTTTAAATTTCGCACACATATTAATCAAACAAGTAACCACATTGAGATCAGAACATAAACCCAGCTTAATACATTGTCCATGAAGAGACCTTCCATCTAAGGAATAGCCGACATCACCCACAGCAGATGAAACAGTTAATACTGTATTAGCGCCGGCTATCAAACCTTCCCTACACATTTGTCTAAAAAAATCTAAAACAACAGTGGGCTGAGATGCATGAAGATAACCACCCATCAAAGTATTCCACGATACCAAGTCGTTTCTTTGAGGAATTTCATCAAACAGTTTACGGGCATTTCCAATTTGGCCACACGCGCAGTAAAAATGTAGAAGCATATTATTTAGATGACTGAATAAACCATGCCCAGATCTATGAACAAGCCCATGAATCCCCTGCCCAGGATTAATTGCTAATTCTCGAGCACAGGCTTTCAGAATTGTTATGAAAGAAAACTCATCAGGCAAGAAGTTCTGATTCCTCAGTTGATTGAAAATAACAAAAGCTTGTTTTGAATCATCGCTATTAGAATAGCCTCTAAGCATAGTATTGAACATAAAGAGATTCGGGTTTCGTATAACCTTGAAAATGGAAGCTGCATACTTGATATCCAGTATGGCGGATGCAAGAAGTTTGCTTAATGTGAAAGGGACGAGGTCAAGAGCAGTCTTGACCATGTAGCAGTGGATTTGAGAGATTTCTGAAGTTCCATTGCATGATTTCAGTAGGAAAAGTAGCTTTTGATCATCTGAAGATATGCCATGGCTGAGATTTTTGGACCAAATGTTTAAATTCCGCCGCAGGCACGAGGCATGGGATAAGCTCATGAACCTGGGTTGCTAGAAGAAGGTTTTGAAGCTCAAAAACACGATGACAGGACAATCCCTACACAGTCGGACATTGAATGCCGTGAAATTCAGTACCGATCAATAACGTTCGTAATTCTTGTAAACGAAACCTAAGAGAAAGACGTACCAGATTGTTTTATAACATGGACGCAAAAAATACCGGAAATCGCTTCCGGAAATGAAATGTGATTTCATAAAAATATGGATTTCGCCTCAAAATTGCAAATGATAATAATAATAATAATAATAAATTTTAAAAAAAAATCCCCTTTCATAAAATAATTTAAAAAGAACACCACTTAGCTAATTTTGAAAATATCACGAGTTTATAATCAAATAATACTCTCTCTATTTGTAGGAGGCATTTTGGGAAGCCCAAAGTGAAGCCCATTGGATGAGAACTTAGGCTCAGAGTGGACAATATGGAGGCTTTTTGGGGAAGCCCAAAGTAAAGCCTATTGGTACGAGAGTGGACAATATCGAGGCCTTTTGGGGAAGCCCAAATTAAAACCATGAGAGCCTATACTCAATGGACAATATCTAGACCTTTTGGGAAGCATTGATATGAGGTCTTTGGCCTTTTGGGGAAGCCCAAAGTAAAGCCATGAGAGCTTATGCTCAAAGTAGACAATATATAGGCCTTTTGGGAAGCCCAAAGTAAAGCCATTGGACAATATCTAGGCCTTTTGGGAAGCGGACAATATATAGAGCTTATGCTCAAAAGGGACAATATATAGGCCTTTTGGGAAGCAGGGAAGCACAAAGTAAAGCCATGAGAGCTTATAAGTAGACAATAACAGAGCTATACCCTAAACTTAGTCGTGTGCAGATTGGTAAATCCTCAAATGTTGGATTAAGAGGGAGGTGTTGAATGATGAAAAGTCCCATAGTGTTAGATGATGAAAAGTCCCACATCGGCTATTTTAGGGGATGAGACCTTTTAAAACTAAATCGATACAAATCAATGTTGAGAACTATTTATAAGAATATCTAATCGTGTTTAATTTTGAAAATAACAATGTTTTTGTGTTGCTATATAAACATATATCGAGTGAAATGAGCAGGAGCAAGAGCATGGATCAATATAGAGTAAAAAACCCATTATCCATAAATATAAAAATAATGGATAGTAATAATACAATTATTTAAAATAAAATTTGGATTTAAAAAACAAAAAATAGTTAAGTAATTAAACTTAAAAAAATAAATAAAAAGGTGAAAAGGCACTTCCTAGTTCATCCCGCCGGCAAAAAGCGCCGGGCATTGATATACTGCACTTGCAAGGGAAAATCAACTAAATCCATTTTTTACATGAAAAGATAAAATAGTTCACAGAACCCGAACTAAATTACAATTGAGAGATGAGAAGAAACAATTAAATTAAATCCTATGAGGCAATGAAGAATGCCAGATTCAAGAGGAGATTCCTCCACAGTATAATTTCAATCAAAATCACAGCCTCTGTTCAAAATCAACATTCGAACAGCAGAGTGAAAGCAGCCGTAAGATCTTATTTTTTCACAATCTTTGGTAGTGGAGAAAAAAGCTTCAACTTCATGGGCATAATCCAGCAGAAGAAAGCTGAATGTTAGGAACTGCAAACAATCTTCATACCACAACTTTGAATGTTATGCATTAAACAAATTCCAGGAATGATCAGTGGGAAGATTTTCCTTCACCCTTTCAAGTCTTTTGAGGATCTCCAAGAAAGAAGGTCTCTTGTTCATATCAGATGCCCAACATTCTTCTGTTAAACTGGGAAGAACCAAACCAGAAGAGGTAGTAAATGAGAAGCTATTCCATAAATTGATCGAAAAGGCGTGTTTTTCATATGAGAAGAAGCAATCTTGATGATTAGATTGAAAGGGAAACAGGAATGATCAACTTACTCTCTTAGAACGGGAAGGTATCCTTTCGAACGGAACATCGGTCGATGACCTTCGGCCACATATTTGGCAGCTTCATAAGGCTCGTAATTTGCCAGTGGTGGATCTCCCTCAAGCATCTGCACCAGTTGGAATATTGCTGTGAGTCAAATATAGTCTTGCAATAAAAGTATACTTCTGTACTGCGAATGCAACAATTACCTCGTATAATATCATTGCAAAAGAAAACACGTCCACCTTCTTATCGTATTTTCTGTGCTTAAATACTTCAGGTGCCATATACCGGTCTTTTCGCCACGTGCACGATGTGAAAAGGAAGATTTAAGCATTAAAGAGTTTTATAAAACTGAAAATAGCAGTATGATATGTACTTACAGCTCCCAGTCTCGCCAGTCATTTTGTAAACATCGTGTGAATTCTGAACCTTGATGAGTTTGCTTAGACCAAAATCACCAACTTTTAGATGGTCGGCTCCGGAATTAACCAACAGAACGTTCCTAGAATTTCAAAATACTCTTCCAATTATAAACGAAGATGACAGCGAACTCAATCCAATCTACGCTGAGTTCAAAAGAATGTGAATGCAAAATGACAGCAGAAAGCTCATAAATCATATGGTATTTCAAGTCTTAAAAAGTTAATCCCTTGCAAAAAGTTGCTGGAGTGAGAGAGAAATCGCATGCTGATTAAAGTCTCAAACTCACCTCGGTTTCAGGTCACGGTGAATTATAACATTTGGTTCATTGTGGAGATAAGCCATTCCCCTGGAACAGAAATCATTGTCAAACTGGTTAGCACGATTAGTAAATTTCCGAGGGAGCAAATACTGGACTCAGTTAAATGTTAGACCAATTACTTCCTTATGACCATTAATTTCTAGAGTTTGAGTACAATGTGATTTTAGAAACTGTGAAGTATAGCCTACCCTAATCAAGGAAAAACCCAGCACGAAAATCAGTAAAATGACTCAAAACAATCATTAAATGAGCTTGTTCACAAATAGATTATACACCAGCCACGTATTAGTAACATAGAAGCCTATTTCTCAACTTATGGGAATGAGTGTATTGAAGCCTATTGAAACTATTTCTTACATCGATTAGATACACTCATTCCCATACTAACATAGAAGCCTATAATCAAATGACCTTGTTCACACACGTGATATTGAAGCCTATTTCTCAACTTACGGAAAAGCAGTGTAAGAAGATCAATTCTGGCAGAAGTAGAATTCAAATAAGAGAAAATTTAATCTTTTCATTTCCTCTTTTATTTCCAGCAATCTTCAAAGAATCTTATTTCTTCTTGGTAAAATTTTCAAGGAATCAGGTCTCTTGCCATTAAAATAATTATGTATACATTTCTTTAAGAACAATTAGATGAATTTTCCCACAAATGAAATAGCAAGGTTTAAAAGGAAATAACGATATATCATGGAGAGAAGGATCTTCCATTGTTCTACGGGCAGTGAGGAGCCAAACTAGCCCAACATTGATTTATCTGGCAATGTCTAGAGCTAAACGTTAAAAATCTCTAGATTTGCTCTTTTGTTTCCAACAATCTTCGAGGCATCTTATTTCTCTTTTATAAAAGTTTTTAAGTAATCAAATTATTATACCTGGCAATGTCCAGTGCAAAATTGATGGCCGTTGAAGGACTGAGCGAACCTTTATCCTTGAGGTACTGGTGAAGATCACCCTAAGGGACAGAATGTCAAACAGCATGAGTAAATTACAACTTGAAAAGAATGAAAACCTGAAAATTTTCAGAATTAGTATAAAAAGAAACTCTATCAATTACCCCTCTTAAGTATTCAGTGATTAACATAAGTGGTTTCTTCTCAGTGACAGCTCCAAGAAATTGGACTATGTTCGGATGGCGTAGTTTCACCAAGAGATTAACCTCATGTCGAAAATCCTGACTGAAGGAGAAAAGCCAACATATAATTAACTCCAATCATATTGATTTAATAAAGATTTATATGGTTCTTGCAATTCTTTTTTTTTAAGAAAAAAAGACGAAAGATTTACGTGAAAACAAATAAGAAATTAGTTTTGGGGGGTTCTGGTGGATATTGCGCCAGTTGAAATAAGATTCCAGGCTGCTGGTGCAAGGAAAAGCAAAATGAAATAAATAAATAAATTTATAATTCCGTAGATTTCACTGGCATGTTTTGTGTCTAAGGAATACATATAAAATTTAGAAGTAAAAATATCGTTATAAATGGTCGTTATTTTCTGAATTTATTTCCTTCAATATTTTTTTTTTATAAGTTGGAGAACAAATGGGACACATGCAATCGCAATAAGATAGGGTACAGGTCCATCAGATGGATATTGGATCTTACATCACAAGTCTATCATCAGATAGTGATGGAAGGATACGTTTGACAGCTACAGGGGTTCCACGCCAGTAGGCCTTCAAAATTTCCCCGAAGGACCCCTGCAAAAGACAGACATTCCTAAGTGAAAACTACTCTCTTAAATGTATTGAGAATCATACGAACAAAGCATTCAAACCACGAAAACAAAACATAAAAGAATAAGATGAAAGGCCTAACATTAAGTTATTTCAGAAATCATACAGAGAGGGGAATCGATTAAATTTAAAGATGACAGTTATTTTCCCCAATTCTGTAACCAAAAGGCAAGCATGAGTTTTTCTTTTTTCAAGAAGTGAAATGAATTTCATCAATGAATGAAATAAAAGGAGTTAAAAGACTCCCAAACACCAAAAGGGGTATTGTAATAAAGCTTTTCTGTTGGAAATCAAAGAAGAAAGACTATAGTCATAAAAAGGTGTATACATCTACACCAATACAAAGCATGATACAAAATCAAGTCCATGAAACTCTAAAAATCCAAGTAAATGTCCTTGAAAATTCAAACATTTCACTCACACCAAAGCTTCGAGAAAAAAAAAAAAAAAACTCAGTTGATAACTATCCATAAGGATTTCTTCACATCATGGAAGAGGTCCCACAAAAACTGAAGCAAGCATCAGTTTTTACACCCATTAAAAGGAAAAGTTCAGGGGAAATAAACCTCTCGGTAACAATATAAGGCCAACTGGCTGAAAGAATCTTTTAGGCTCTTTGTTCCAAGACAACTCGAACCTTGAATTCATCAGTTTCAATTTGCTAAAAGTTCTCATTTTTTTCAATCAATTAACACACTTCAGACCTGTACTTGCATTTCTTGATGCAGTTAACTAACAAAATAGATTCAGATTATAAATTTGTAACCAATGTACTCTTTTATACAGGAACTGTAATAACACAAACAACATTCTAGTTCCATGATCATGAGGAAAGATTTCAAATTCTTGGATGGTGAAAAAAAAAATCCTATTTGCTGGCAATTTGAAGAAAGATCATTTTTACCTTGCCGATAATAGCTGAGTTAGAAAAATCTAGTTCAGAGGGATCAATTTCCCAGTCACATTTATTTGGCAGAGGAGGAGGAACAGGCTTCGGTTCAAAATGGCTTCCATTTTGGCCCTACAACATATATCATCATTCTTAGATAGAAATTAGGTAACAAACAAAAACCTGATATGAAGAATATTCAGTTTCTCTAGTTTCGTATCAAGAAGAAAAAAGAAGAATATTCATCGAGTAATATGAAATATTTTAATCTTCAAATCCAGTCAGCTCAAAAACATGTAGAGTACTAAGACGAGAATCTAAGATAAAATATAGAAATGGAATAAAAGGATAGCAATAACATTGAAGATTCACAGAAAATGCAAGAAAATATGTGATATGACTGAACATAGAACGGATGTAAACAGAAGCATCTAATTTTCACAATAATCAGGAAAATATAGAAAGTAAGAAGAGGTGTCTGATTGCAAAGAAGAATGAATAGTATAAAAAAAAAATTACGCTAACACGGCCAATTGGCACGAATATAGCCCGACATAAATACAAAAAGCTAAAAGGGAAGCTCTTCACTTACATAGGAAAGGCCACCATATGATTTTAATAACTCAATCATGCCATGCTTTTTAGCTCCTTCTGCATCAGCTAGCGGCTGTAATAGAGGGGAGAAGATCCTTGTATGAGGGTAGTGATGCTAAGTAATTTATGCGAATGTTGCATTCAATAATAAAACTTTAAACATTCCCACATAGCAACGATAAAATAGAGAAACAGAGTACATAACTAGTAAATATGAGAGCAAGCTCATTGTGAACGCATTACATTTCTTAAGTAAGCTCAAGAACTCAAGGACACAGTTACGCAACCTATAAAACAGATCTTGTTCAAGTAAGGTCTTTCTTACCAATAGAGTCAGGAAAACAACATTCATCTAGACTAGCAATAAATAGAGAGCCGCTTAATTCCACTTCAAGAGCATGAGCAACTTTACAACAATGGATCAGTTGCAAAATAAAATCCATCCTTCAGCGTTGACCAAACTTAAATTACATCAAACGCAGTGCAGGAAGTTCAGATAAACCGGGTAAGGCAAATCTTTCCCAGAGTAGTACAATCATAAAGCCTTTGGGCCGTGGCATATACTCTTTTTCCATTTACAAACTCAATCATATGCCCACATGTGCGGAAGAGACAAATTTCTTTTAACTCGAAGAACGCGTATATGTAAGAAACAATTGGGGTGGGGAGTGTGGCTTAAGGTCATTTAGGATTGTGGAATTTTCCCGGGAAATTTGGCTCGTATAAACTCTAAGCTCATATCAGCGTATTGTATGAAAAATCCCGCGGATTGCCCGCTAGCCTAAACGGAACGCCACTATACATATGGCTGAATTACCGTACTGGCTTGAAATTCAAACGTGCAGCTATAATTATCAAGAGAACTCGAATCAAACCCAAATATGGAAGGAGTGTATGTAAAAGGAAAGAAACGTCAAATAGTAATCGAACCATCGTATGAACAAAGAGTAAAGTTCCTATAAAGAAAAATTTCCGGATAAAACTTACAGTATTCTTCCAGCGATCTTGGGCATTAACATCAGCGCCGTGTTCAATCAAACACTTGGCAACGTCGATCCAGCCATGAAGCGATGCAACATGGAGAGGGGTGCGGTTGTCGTAATCTCTAGCATGGACAAGGGACTGATCCTCCTCCAGAAGCTTGCGAACAGCAGCAGGATCATTTTGGTGAGCGTGCCACAATATCATCGACGTTCTACTAACTCTCGCTTTCTCTTTCTGCTTCTCCTTGCTCGTCCCCGATGCCAATGACGACGACGAGGAGTTTCCCTTACCTCCTGAATTCCCCGGCGTTGGCAAACCGGCGGCACTCCCGGAAGGTAAGCTCATGATCAGAATTTCGGGATCTTCAAGATCGGATCGAAAGGAGGGAAAGAACTCGAAACTCTTCCTTGACTTGCACTTCAATCGGATTGAATGCGACTCCGGATATTTTTGGGTTATGGATTTCAAAATTACTTAATTATAATTTAAGATCATGTGAGCTTGAGAGGGAAAGTCAAGAAAGAAATGCCCAATTGGGAACAAACTCACATCCGAATCTGAACAAGTGGAAAAGGCTAAGGATTTTACCTTTTTCAATTCTACATATTCATCTTCATCCCAAAAGGGTAAAACTTCGAGATTTTATGACACCAACTGAATTTAGTTTCATTTTTTCCATACAATTAAAACCCAACAAAATATAAAAAAAAATAAAAATTAATTGTAAGGTTTTTTTTTTTTTTTTTTAATAATTATAATTGTAAGTTGTATTTATCTATTCTCCACCTTTCAAATAACTTGGCGTAAATCTCAAAGTTTGAACTTTATATTTATTTAATTGAATTTTAAATTAGAAAATGTAAAGAACTATTAGGAGGACAAATATAATATTTTAAAATTATTAAAGAAATATAATTTAATAACTGAAAAATCATCCTTCGGCTCATCACAAGGAGAAAGTACAAGAGCCCATTTTAAGCTACACTAAATTTGTCCCACATCGGAAACACGGAAATGGGAAGAGGTTAGATGCAGTATATAAAGGAAGGGACTAGGGACGTTCAAATATACTTACCTGGATGGGGTCAATGGGCGATCAATTATGCTCATGGCCTAGGTTGGTGACCTCCATTGCACTTCGGAGGGGTGCCCGTCTAAGGTCTGCCCAAAGTGGCAGAGCCTACATCATAATTTGTGCTAGTGGGGCCTGCGTTCGCGCGGCCCCTCCCCAATTCCAGTGGAAGACTTATAACTCCGTGAGTTATACGATGCACGGTAAATTTTTGCAGAATATTAAATATTTAAAGCTAAATTTATTTCATTTTGCCAAATAATTGAGGTACGATAACAAAAAATGTTTAGTACGTTTGAATTTTTACGATTATGGTTAAAATATACAAAAAAGTAAAATCAAAAAGCTATTTTATTTGTAAAATAAATCATATAAATAATATAATATGTATATGAATTTATTAATATGTAAAATAAATCGGTAAGTTAACAATTTTAAAATTTTCTAATATATGGCGGATCTTCGGAGATAAGCATGAGTCATGTAACTCATAAATATCCAATGATCCCGTGCATCACAAAATGTCATAGATTTTAGATTTTTTTAGATTTAATAAAAAAAAGTCAAATGTCATCGATTTTAGAAAAAAAAGTCATCGTTTTTAATAATAATTTTGCTATTATAGTTGGGAGGGCGCCAATAACAAAGAACACAAACCACGAATCTCTGACTAGAAGGTATATAAAAATTTAAGTTAAATACTATTAAAATTTATTTATTAGGTCGATAATTGATGACAAATGGAAATAAAGTTTGAAAATATATTTAATATCATCTCATAGTCAATTTAATGCCCTAGACTCTAGTGGGTCATCTCACTATCTTATTCTATAAACTATAAATATAATAATCTCACATAAATATAAACCAAACAATATAAACATATAATAGTGAGTGAATAATAGTGAATGAAATACTAATTACTCTCTCAAAAATAGACAATTACCGCCTAAACAATTCCATTATACTTAAAAATAATAATAATAGATGGAAATAATTTAAAATTAGACTTTTAAAAGAAAATAATTATATTTAATGTGTCATTATTACTAGCATTATACTTTGTCAGATAGTAAAAAAAAAGTTTAAATATTCCTCCATATCCTGATAAAATTTACATTCCACCTTAATATATATGGTTACGTTAGGTTCAAATCTCATTTTGTTCAAGGATAATTAGTATTATTTATAATTCTGTAAATTTTTAATATTTTAGTTATAATTAAGTATTAACACACAATTTTCAATGGAACCACTATTTATGTAGCTATTTTTGTTTTTCCTTTAAATAAATGTAGCTGAAAATGTCTATGGATTCAAACCTTCGGCCCATGAAAAAGTTCAAAAGCCCATAAGCTACACTAAATCTGTCCCACATCGAAAACACAGAGGTCGAAAGAGGTTAGATGCAGTATATAAAGAAAGGAACTAGGGCCGTTGAAACATACTTACCTGGACGGGGTCAATGGGCGATCAATAAGGCCCATGGCCTAGGTTGGTGGCCTCCATTGCACTTAGGAGGGGTGCCCGTCTAAGGTCTGCCCAAAGTGGCGGAGCCTACGTCATAATTTGTGGTAGTGGGGCCTGCGTCCGCGCGGCCCCTCCAACAATAGTTTTACGTGCTTTCCGAATCACGGTTGTACGTTACAAATAATTTATAGTATATGATTTTCACATAATTATTTTAACCTTTGATTAATTAGTATTTAGATATTCTATATTTTCCTTTAATCTTATACTAAATTACATGGTTCACCCAGGAGTTTTGGTTTCTTTTATGTAGCTAAGCAAAATTAGAATGAACCTACATTATCAAAATAACGGACACTAACAATATAATTATTTAAAAATAAAATAATTTTATTTAATGTATCATTATTACTAGCGTTAGGTAAAATTTACACTCCACAAACACTAGATATTTAGTATTAGTACTTCTTTACAATTTTTTAAAAATCTAATATTTTATTTATAATTAATTATTAACGCATAATTTTGAAATCAATAATCTTTGAATATTAAATTTTAAATTATCAAATTTAAAATTTTTAAATAGAAATATTAGTTTGAGTTTCGAATTAGAAAATGTAAAGAATTATTAGGAGGACAAATAGGATATTTTAAAATCATAAACTAATGGACATTTAACAAAACCACTGTTTATTTAGCTATTTTTGTTGTTTTTCCTTTATTTTAAATAAACGTAGCTGAAAATGTCTCTAGATTCAACTTCGGCCCATAATAAAGAAAAAGTCCAAGAGCCCATTTTCACTTAGAAGCTACACTAAATTTGTCCCACATCGAAAAACACGGAGATGGGAAGAGATTAGATGCAGTATATAAAGGAAGGAACTAGCGCCTTTGAAACATACTTACCTGGACGGGGTCAATGGGCGATCAGCAAGACTCATGGCCTAGGTTGGTGACCTCCATTGCACTTCGGAGGGGTGCCCGTCTAAGGTCTGCCCAAAGTGGCAGAGCCTACGTCACAATTTGTGGCAGTGGGGGCCTGCGTACGCGCGGCCCCTCTAATATCAGTTATAGAACATGTTCTCATGTTCTGTTTTTTAATTTTAATAATTTATTAATGTCAATTTTAATTTCATTATAACACCTACTAGTAGTTTCGTTATAGTGGTGAAGTTTTAAATCCCTCGCGCGCTTTTTCTTGTTTATAACAGCTGTTCCCGGGAATTGAGGGAAGTGAATATTTTGAGTTTTAGTCAACCACCATCCGAACGCGAATTATAAGTTACGGGTTAGTTATTCATCGTCTTCTACTGAGTGAGGTTGCATACGATTCATGCCGGTTTCTTACAGAATCTGCGGAAGGTTTGAGATTCTACTCCCTCCTTAACCATTTTTGTTCATCAGTTACTCTGTTCGATCGTTTTTCCTTATTTTCATTTGCTGTTTTTCATCACGGAAGTGCATTTCTGTTCTTGGACTTGAAAATTCCCTAGGTTTGAACTCCAGGAGTATACTGCTGGAGTTCGATGTATATTTTTTCTTTCGATTGCGAATTGCTCGTAGCGCGCATTTGATTGTTCGTTGGACTGGTAAATTTGCGGAGCAAACCGGTCTCGTGTTTGTAACTGCGGAAAAAGTATACACAAATACTTGTGGATATCTTTTTTGGTCCTCTGAAACTTGAGTGTTTTTGCTCATAGGCAAGGTAATATTCTTGCTTGCTTTTCTGCCATCGGCATGTTTATTATCTAGCGTACCGTTGCCCAGGCTTTAAATTTTACTTCTGCGGCAATGGTAGTCTCTGTACTTCTGACGTCTGTGGGAATAAATTCTGCAATATTCTATACGGAGGAAACAACCGGCTTACCAAGCTTGGTTGCTTTAGGAAAGACTAAACAGACAAGTGATTTCAACCTAGAAAGATCAATACCCTCTGCTAATTGCAACTTTCAGGTAATCAAGAATTTACTCAGGCAGTTGTTTTACTATTTCATTGTATGGTGGGATTTGAGACCGAGAGGGACATTTTCTGAACTCAGTTTTATCAACAACAAATTTCTTCATCGATATTCTCCTTGAAGAATTATGGAATTGTGGAATTTGTACAGTAGAAACTAAGGACGAAGAAATGACTAGGAAAGCAAGAGCTCATTTAGTGTAATACTTGGTTGGTTGTGTGATTGATTGAATCCCATCTCTTTTTTTCTTTTATGTGTACTATTCCCCCTTTTACCCAGCTTTTTTGTAGAAAAGAATGTGGAAGTGAGACCAGCGGTAGGCATCGGTTTGCATTTTTCTTTTGGAATTGAGGGTCTGTTTTGTGTGATGTGGTGTTTGTGTTCTTATTAACTGCCTTCTTTTGGGGTATCAACAATATCTGCATTCTGCAATAAATAAACGATCAACGGTTGTATTTTGGAAGGAAAGGTCCATCTTTGAAAACAAACCTATTATCTTAGCTTCTTTAATGCGTGCTTGAGTTTGATAGCCTGTTTCATTAGTTTGCCATCTTAGTTTGTGCAATTCCTGCTTCTGCTGGGAGAGGCATCGATGACAGTGTTAAGTAGTTGTTCATCGAGTATCACCCCCTTCAACTTATCTCTCTCATACAGTTGGACAAGCAAACTAAGGTGTGGAACTATTGGAGAGAGGAGCAAGTGTTAGCGAGGACGCTGAATTTCGAAAGGGGTGGATTGTGAGATCCCACGTCGATTGGAGAGCGGAACAAAACATTCTTTATAAGGGTGTGGAAAACTCTTCCTAACAGACATGTTTTAAAAACTTTAAGGGAAAGCTCGAAAGGAAAAGCCCAAAGAGGACAATATTTGCTAGCGGTGGGCTTGAGCTATTACATTATGAGCCTCAAACGTTTGTTACACCCTTCCTCTTCTTTTCTCACACGCAGAAAGAAACTTGTATCAGGAAAACCAGGTTGTTGCTTGTCTACATGTCTTATGTTAGAATTGCATATGAAAGCTGGCTGTGTGGTGCACTTAACATGCTATTAT